GTTTCATTCGAAAACGCGTTTCGTTACACCGCGTCGATCATACGTCGTTTCAACGGACGCGTTTATCGGCGCGGTTATCGCCGATTGTTGTTGCTAATATCAGCCGGCAGGCGCGAGCGCGCGTGTGGATAAATTCCTGGTCTAGCTACTGTGAACGATCGACACCACGTCCCGAATTTCCCCGTTGCACAGCCTCCGCAAGCAAGCATACAAAAGCGGCGATGGCTGCTGCAGCTGACATGTCCTTCCGCTCCCGGCAATCGAGCACGATTGAGGTTCTCGGGGAATTAATCCGCCGAATTTTCGCTTTTGCATACACACTACGGGAAAACTACCTCATGTCAAGAGGTGAGCAAAGCTTAATAATAATAATTCCATTGCAGACGCGCGTGTGTAAATATACAAATAGAAATTTAGGCTTTTATTCAAAGATAAAAACTTCTCTTAATTCTTTCTCTGACATAAAATCCAAAACATTTACATTTTGATTTGACATAGTTGGTTTACAAAACTTTATTTTTATCATTATTATTATTATTATTATTATTATTATTATGTAACAAAATAACATAATATTAATTTAATTACATTAATTATAATGTATTTGCTTTTTCTAGTTACTCATTTTATTTCGAGAATTTATGTTGTAACGATTACCTCAAAGGTACAAAATAGATATTTCTCGTTCAAACGGTAAAATCGGTAAAGTTTCACATTGTGGAGCTTTTGAATTCTAGCTATGCCACTGTGTGCAAGAAGTAATCGTATTACGCTAACATATTGTATGAAAAGCAGTCAGGAAAACGAATCAATACAGCATTCTATCATCACTCGATTTAGAGACGCGATCGATGTAAAGAAATATAATGAATTTTTGAAGAATGGATATATAAAGAAAGACAGAGAAAGAAATAGTGAGACAATCGCGCGAATAATTAAACGTCCCGAAAGTGACAATTGAAATGGCAATTCGTAGTTTACCGCGATCCTCGGTTCGTGCAACTTTAAAAACTGGGTCGATGTTTCGTTAGCGAATCGATTAATCCTACACGCGCGTAATGAGAATTTTGAGCCGCAACAGTAGAAAAAAAATTATTAATTTTGCATGCAAATCTAGATATAGAACACATAATGAAACAAATGAAAATTATAAACACATCAGTAAATAAATAGCATTATCATTAAATCTATATTAATTTTCCCTTTTGAGGAAACAAACCATCATAGGTAATAAATAAGCCAGCGAAAAAGTTGCTTTTATCATCAATATGCTGTAATAGAGAGAAGAACTTCAATAATAAAAAGGAAATCAATAAAAAGGAAATTAAAGATATTGATTTTTCGTACGGAATTAATGTATAATGGATGATATAAAGAAGAATAACCAATAAATGTAAAGTAATAAACAAATAAATAAGCAACAAGAGAGGAGAAGGAGGAATAAACATATTAGCTTTCCAAAATGACGCGAATGACGAAAAAAAAGAAATTCCTTTCACGGATGATTATCGATGACGATGTTGAGCGACGAGAAAGTTTCGATAAAGAGTAGCGGCTTGCGAAATCACGGCAGCTCTCGATATTGAATATTCATGCAAGGTGGAATCGCTCCGCCTCACAATTTACTGTCTCCTTCATTCGCTCGCCATCGGCCTCTCTCAAGCTCGAAATCGTTGGGCTTCTATGTGAAATCCTAAGGTCGCTCCGATACTCGATACTGCCGTTTCGCACGGTGAAACGTGTTTATCGAAGATTTCTAGCGAAATGGGATACGTCCCCGATACATTCGCACGCGATTATCGAATGCGACCAAAGTGAATACTTTTATAAAATCTATATAGCTCATCTTTTTCGATACGACGACATTGATACAAGAAAAAGATTCTATGTGATATTTCTCCCTATATTACATATTAAAATATTAATTACATATTAAAATATTAATAAATTATTGATTGATAATCTTAGGGCGATATTCATAGTCTGTTCTTGTTTTAAAATCATCTTAAGTAATAAATGTTTTAAGGTGCTAACTGCCTTCTGGCTGACTTATGATATTTTAAGACTGTATTTAAAATAATCTTAAATATAAAAGTCAACTATGAATACCAGTATTAAAATATTATATTATTGTGTCAGATGGCATTGTGCAGAAGTTAATTTCACTTTTATAATTTTGCAAAATATATCTTTCATGTCATCTAGTTAATATTACTATTATTTTTATTATCTTAATAACTGTCAATCCCAAGATATTAAAATATTGTGCCAAAAATATCTCCCTTATTTTTATTCTAAATATGTACTTTCTATATCTACGTTATACGTTTTTACGTAATTATTGATATAATTAATTATTAATAATTTCTATTCGCTAGTGACAGTATAGATATTTCGCCAAAGACGAATTTTATTCTCATTCCAAATGCACACTGCAATTTTTTTTAGAAATGATTCATCCGATATTTGGATATATGTGAGCGAGTTGGCACATGTGCATTTGAGACAGGAATGCAATAGGAAAGAATCCGTCGATTCTCGACTTATTGCTGGAGTTTTCCTGAACAATTTCGCGCGGTAGATCACATCGAGAAAATGAAAAAAGACAGCATACAAGAAAACTTGGTGGTCTTTCATCGGCGACGAAATTTCGAAAGTCCTAGACAAATTCTTAGCCGAGGAAGGAGCCAAGTCGGCGATTGTCCAGCAGTGAAAATTAGTGAAAATAAACGACAGAAATTCAAACATATTTGTGCTAAAATTCTTTCTGCATTTCATTTCAAAAAAAAAAAAAAAAAACGCAAATATCTTCCATTGGTAAAATTTACAAAATTGAAATTAATCTCATGAAAGAGATCCATTTAAATTTCTCCATATCAAGAACATTTCTAATAAACAGCGCATCGGCAGCATTCATCGATTGAAACACACACATAGGTCTGTGCTTTTATGTACAACAATAAACTTGTTTATTTGCCTTAAATAAAATACATTCATTTACGTTACGTCGAGCGTTCCACAGAAAAGATTACACTAATCGTACTATACATATAGCCAAAATAAATTACGCCAGAATAAATTACACCGAATTACAGTGGATTTTGTGTATGGTGATCGCAACGCACGTGGTATATTCATCGACAGAAAGGGAAAAATACTCGTACCTACTGGCTACCTACTGGCGGATCATAAAGCGATCAGATTTGTTTAACCACGAACATGAGCAAGCACTTGTTCGCGAACGAGCGAAATACATGAGAAATACACGAGAAAAGTGCAAAGTATTTATGGTCCTCCCTCGTGATAGCGTGCCTTGAAGCACGATGAAGGAGAAGCAACGAAACATGAATAAATGCATCTCACCCGCTGCGCTTCTCCATGCAGTGACAAAGAAGAAAAGCGTACATCGAGAGAAATGGCATCTCCGAACGCGTGCGAACGCAAGCTCGACGACGACGGATAAAACTTTGTTTCCCAGGGAGAATACACGAGGAATGGGCGCGAGGAGGTGCCTCAGTCCATTCAATGCCAGGAATTCCCAGCGCGGCGATCCGGGCTGCGAGCTCGCCGAAAAATGCAGTTGGAAGAAACGGTTGTTGCGCTTACACGAGAAAGCTCCGCTATCCACCGCCATGAATTTTGATGGATCTCTTTTCCCCCCGCGGAGCTTTCGGCCGGAACGACGCTGATTTGCATTATGCAATTTACGCGCGCATAGTTTCAAGATATATACATGGCTGCATGTGCTCACAAAAGAAGATGGCGAATCCCCTTTCGCTACGTTTTTTTTCTCTTTTTTTATCTCTTTCCTTATATATTTTTTATCTTCGCCTCGATTCATGATCCCTCTCGGGCAATATAGTTCTGTATAATGCGATCGTTCGTGTCCCAAACATGCGTTGTTTTTAAACGAAAAAATGATAAATGTGCAGTAAACATTATGCTCTTTTAGATACAAACACATTCGAGGCAAGAATATAAAGTTACTTTTCGAACTTATATAATATATATTCTTCAAAAAGAGAACAATTTTTAATAATAATATTTAATGTTAATAAATATCTTTGCATCTGACAAATAATGAGACGATTCAAGTTTCATAATGTTAAGTACAAATATATTTAAAAATTTAATTTTATATAACGTTTTTTTTATCATCTTAAAGTTATCTTATAGTTTATAATTTGTCAATTGGAAATGTTAATTTCAATCGTTGCATATGTTTACAGAGAGAGAAAGAGAGAGAGAGAGAGAGAGAGAGAGAAAGAGAGAGAGAGAGAGAGAGAGAGAGAGAGAGAGAGAGAGAGAGAAAGAGAGAGAAAAGTTTATCGCAATTGGCACTGGTACAACGAAACTGTGAAAGCTCAAGGAAAGTGTCCTCATTGCTAACCAAACGAAATTCTAATGTAAACAAACCTATTTGTATTCTCTCCATTATCGCGCCGTGTGGCACTTTCGAAATTTCTTTTGTAATGATACAAACAATAAGTGGTAATAATTATACATTTATTGCTATATGATTTTCGAAAAAAAACAGTTAAGAAAACACACACACACACGCGCGCGCGCGTGTTACATTCACACACTTTGATAATTTTTCGCGGATAAAGTATTCCAGACCAACGAAAAACATTTTTGAAAGTACTTTGCAAATATACTTTTAAAATATTCAGCATCGCTATATTAGCACTCATAAGTAATAATTTAATTGTGCATACAAGATGTTATTAACATCGAATATATAAATAATTTCAAAATCACAGACATCTGACGCAAGTTATTTTGCTTCGACGAACGATCCTTAATCTCTCTCGGACGAAAGGATTAACGACTAATTACCGCCTCGCGTGTAAGGGCGTGCACAGCATGGGTATTTTCACGCTCGGAAGAACACGGCGATCCTGATTTTGTGCAGTAAAACACGAGAAGCGGACGGCAGACTATCTGCGCGACGTGAAGTATATGTACGTGCATATACAAGGTAAACGAAAGATTCCTACCTGGTGTGGCTGCAGGGTGTCGGGGACGGGCTCCGAGGCTATTAGCCAGCTGTGCTTACAGGGCGCATAAGCGCAACCTCCACCTCCGAGCTACGCCGGCTTTGTTTCTGCATCCTGGAGAAAAATAGCAAGATGAGTTTTATGTCAAGTTACACGTAAACCATATGTCTTATAACTTATTCAATTAATTCTAAATATAATACGATAAAATTTCTAAATAAAATCAAAGTGCCTCTGCGATCTCTCTCTCTCTCTCTCTCTCTCTCTCTCTCTCTCTCTCTC